AAATTTGATAGTTCAAATATTTGTAAAGGGTACAAAGTAGATTCATATTTGAAGACACAAAACTCTTATGTTGATCCAATTGGAAATATTCGACACATTTCATGTCAATTTATTATTGAAAAAAAAGATATTTGCCAGTATTGTACTTGTGCCTTRCGAAGTGTGAATCGAAAAAAACTTCGGATGTCAAAAAATATTGATACAACTTCTAGGAAAATTAATATTTTGCTTAGTCCAAGTAAACAACCACAATTAAAAAGATTATTACTTAATTGTATACAAACCTAACAGTAATAACTAATAAATTATTATTAACAATATGCCTATAACAATTACTACTAAGTAATTATAGAATTTTTCAGACTTGGGTGAAATACTTTTTAAAAGTATTTCAAATACATATTCCGAATAATTAAAAAAAAAGTATTTAGAATAATATGTATTTGAATACTTTATGATAATAATATTCCTAAGTATTCGGAATACTTCACAAAAAGTAGGTATTCTAAATACCRTATTTAGTAGGTACTTTCCTTAAAAAAAGTATTTAAAAAAGAAGGTAAGTGGATGTCGCTCTGCTGTACAGTAGATTACAAGTGGGTCAATGTATAATGAATTGTATTAAACTTGAATTCAATGATAAAATATCATTGTATAAGTAAAATGATTCTGAGCGGAGACAGTTTATCAGTCTGGATTTTTTTAATTTTTTTAATTTATTATAGTCTAAGTTGAATTAATATTATAATGTTTTTATTTTTTATTCGTTTCCATGGTGATAGACAAAGCGTAAGAAATTAAAATCCCATTTTAAGTGGTTTTTCGTAATTTGTCAGTAGTTTTTCGCGTGGTATTAAATAAATAATGAGAAAATGACCTCTCTAAAGTACCATCTTGATCCAATTTGCTAAAAGATAAGCCATAAGGTACTATAATATGTTGAAATCACGGTGGATTATAATCTACCGTGGTTGAAATCGAAGCATTCCTTCTGGTAGAAATTTTGTATACAGGATATAAAAAAAAATCTGCTTACAAAATGCACGTTAATAATTGGTGTATTTCGTAATTGAAATATGAATTAACAGGGCGAACCGACTACTAGCGCTTGGTGGCGATTCTGTTTGATAACGTGACAGATGGAATACACTTTTCTTATCCAGTGGCCAGTCCTTATTATTATATGTTCATGCACGTGACGAACTGACGAGTACTCGGC